CCCCAAAACCCCAAAACCCCAAAACCCCTTATGAACATTAAAAAATTGAAACCTGGATTTAAATAGGTTTGGCAGTATAAGGTAACCCAGAAAAGTTCTTATTTCATAAAAACATAGTTCACCAAATCTGACAGGAAAAATAACTATTTTATAGCGAGTTTAAACAAAGCAAAAAGAGTGTATCTAAGCAAGACTCTCCTTTTGTGATAGTTAAAGGTAAACTTACTTATTATTTCATTAAAAAATTTGAAGGGGAAGGATCTTTATTATCATTCACCAAAATACTTCTATTATATATTTAAGAACATTTCTGAAGTAAAGTATAATTCTGAAAATAGAGAACACTCCCAAAAAGCTCAAACCAACCAAATTAGAAAAGAGTTCCTCCTGTTATCTTTTAATGGCAAGAAGTTTGTCAAAAAATGCACTGTAAATGACTCTAGGCTTGATTTCGATGGTGTTGTAAGATCTAGTTCTAATTCTTTAAAAACCTAAGAACAAAGCTAGAAGCATGAAATCTGGTATAATTTTCAAAAACTTAACGTGTAGAAAAAAAGCTTTGATAATCAGAAAAAGAGAGGTACCATCTCAAGAAACAATTTTCGGCTCTCAAGTAAACTAGAAGCTATTTGCCAAGGCGTTAAGAATGTTTCTAAATATTTTGGTAAAGCATTTTCTAATATATTCTAAACTTATTGCATAGAAATTAAAGAATCAAATGCAAAAATTGACTACAAAGAATCTTACAAAAGTCCCAAGGTAAATTATTCTTCTATTTTAGATAAGCATCAGCAGTGTTGCATCTGATAGTGATTCTGAGAACAACAATCAAGACAGCTTCTCTCACCAGATCCTCAAAATCAGCATGCAAAATGGAATTTTTCACTCATATAGAGTCAGAGCTTGAAATAAAGTGAACTCACCAGCAAAGCCGTTGAGCATTATTTCATAATTTCATCCTAAGTCCAATGCGAAACGAGTGAGCAAGTTGCAGCAAGATACTTCTGAACTAGCAGCATTTGAGGAATCTTTCAAATCCAAGCCAAGAACGGTGTACAAGGAGCCCCAGATCAGGCAAAACAGTTTCAAAGCTAAACAAGGTGATCACTTCAGGATGGATAAAATTTCTAAAATTGATATTTCTCAAGAACTTTCTTCCAATAAGAAGATATCTTTGGATACCCAATAGAAACAGAAAGAATTACATCTCTGAAATGGCTCAAGCCCAATACAAAAATGATTTCAATCACTTGATTTCGATCTGCGAAGACCTAAGAGAAAAGAAGCTCAACGAGATTTCAGGCAATGAACTGATTCAGTACCTCTCTGTTCATGAGATAAACAGGATCCAGAAGTTTATGAAGAGAATTAAGCAAGAACTTGTCAGAAGCAGGCGCATGAGAATAAATTTGGAGGGAACTGATGAAGATCATAGCTCTCTTGTTCAGCGAATAAATGGTCTTGCTTCGAAACTTCAATCTTTATTTAAGAAAAGGGGTTTTGGGGTTTTGGGGTTTTGGGGTTTTGGGG